ATTGGTCGGAACCGCCCCGGAAGGGCAAAAACACAAGGCGAGTGAAGTGAGCTGGGCAAAACCGTAATTGTTGAAAAAATAGGGGCAAATCAGTCGAGCGTGGCCCAACTAGGGGCACGAATACAATTGTTCCTAGAAAAAACTCTCATAAGTAATTTTGAAAGACCAATGAAGAAGGTTAATTTACTTGTTAGCAATAAAATTGGTATAAAACATATCTACCAACCCATTGTGCCATTTATAAAGACATATACTGACTTATTGTTGCAACCAAGGCTTTCCTCATTGCTTTATCTAAAGTTCATATCTAATTGGGTAGCTCTTATTTCTTACATGGCTTACACTTGGTCTCAATTTATACATGTATGTTCTAACTATTTCCGTTTCAGAAATTTAAAGCAAGAGTAAATTTTGTTGATAAAACCGATGCTAATATAATATCTTATCCAAATACATCGAAAATAGGGTGCAAAACACAATGCATAGCCGAATGAGGTGATGTAAAATCCGAACCATTCCTTTGCTTAACTCCAAAGCTGTTTGCACAACAAGATCGGCTAGAAAATAAGAAGTATACCTTCAATTCAAGCATGTGTGATCAATTATTTGATTTTTTGGTGAAAAATAATTACATTAGAATACATGATCACCATGCTAAGCCATCAATCCAAGGATGAATGTATTGTAAGTTGCATGATTCGCCCAAGCATAATTTTGAGGATTGCAACATGTTTCGTAAAATAGTTAAATCGGTCATTGATAAAGGACGATTGAAATTTGTTGAGATATCAAGAGATGACCAGTCTATTTCGATTGGCCCTGATGGCAAACGGTTTATGCATCGGCTGCTTCAATCTTATCCATTTAAATATGAGAAGGTAATAACTACGGCTATTGGGATCAAGCTTTCAAGTAAGGAAGTTGGTCAAGAGCACAATGATAATATTCTTGAGGGCGAAAACTTCATCAAAGTTGCAATGAAGAGACCAAGTACTGGGGGCAACAAGAAAATCCAAAGATTGATGCAAGCAAAGGTCGAGGTAAGCACAAAGGTAAAAGGCCGAAAGTCACTTTCGCGCAACTATTAGAAAAATATCAGAAGATAAGTGAGGATAAAATTGCTTATCGGCCAAGTAATTCAAAAGCATCAAGATCACCCTCCATGGGCTTATTTAGATCCATGGATGCAATATAATTTCTTATATCATGAAAGGGCATTACCAAATCACTATATACTTGATTAGCTACAAGTTTATTGCTAATCCAAAGGGCCAAAATATTTGATTTGTCATTTTATTTGTTTATTTCAGCTATACTTGCTTTGGTGGATGAAGTTTACATGGACCTTATGTTAATGGCCGATATTTATCTGTCGTCCTAAGAATATGTCAAAGCATGGCCGGTGTAGTATCCGAACATCGTCCTTAGTTCGATTGAAAAGCGAGACAAGCCTTTGGTTGCCATAGGTGCTACACATATTGAGGCGTTTGGTGATTCGTTATAATTTATTTTGAGGTATGTCTATATGTAAAATTTACCTTGGGTTGCTTTAATACTGCTCATATATCTGGACATGACAATTGAAATTTATTTTGAGGTATGTCTAGATGTAAAATTTACCTTGGGTTGCTTTAACACTGCTCATATATCTGGACATGACAATTGAAGAGCAAATGAGTTGGTACAGCAAGCATCTGGCTACTATGTTGATCATGGTGTATTGCATATATCTATCAATAGCCGATGCTATTCTCGCCGACGTAGGTAAGGATGAATTGGAGCTCATCGCTTTGGCCACTAATAAAAGTTTTATTTAGGAGAAGCAAGGATTGAAAGAAGTTCATTCGTGATTATCTGCAAAATCCTAGCAAAACGGTGAACAATATGGTTCGAAGGATGGTTTTGAACTTTATCAACTGATTGTTATAGAAGTTGAGAAGTTTTCACCCAAGTTTGCATCAAGAGGTTCAAACAAGCAATGACCGATATATGCTTATCATATTAAAAACATGCAAATGGCCTATGGAGTGTTGACATCGTCCTTAGAACAGACTCCGTGCAAGTTATTTTCCGGCACACAAGTTTTGCCAAAAAACAGGGGGCATGTGTTGACATCAGATTTTGGCACGGTCAAGAACTTAACTAAGATGACCTCAAATGAAGAAGTGGTCTACATAAAAAAAGTTACGTATAGTCGGCATGAACATCTTTGAAGTTTGGGCCATCGCCATCCGATTTCATCTCGAAGGCCGAAACTATGCTCAAAGTACTAAGATCTTATATTCAGAGTACAGTTTGGCTGATTAAGCCACCAAGACGGCCTTATATGAGAAAATGTTCTACAAGTATTGTCTTTGCCTCGTCGAAACGATCAATTTTAATATATAAAACATCTCAATCCGAGATCTTATGCAAAATTTAGAGGCCCTGCCACCAGGCAAAAAATGGCACGCCCAATCAGACATGTGCCTGATAGGTAGCGCCACCAATTGTTTATATTGCACGAGCGTTTCGACCCACAAGACGGCCTCGAACCAAAAAAACGTTCAGCATTAAAGTTGTTCGTCTCGTCGAAACAGTCAAATTCACTTTTGGGCGCATCTTCGTCCGAGGTCGTTTGTGGCATGTGAGAGTCAAAAACTAAACTGATGTCTTAGACTTGCCTAAATCCGAGTTCAGTTAATTTTGGAAAGATTTGGACGGGATTTGGAGTCCCTTTCTTGTACAAGAAATCCAGCCGCCTCATAAATAAATGAAAGATGATGGCCGATTGAACAACACACAATCGATCAATCCACCTACCACTTTTACCCTTACTCTCTCTCCCTTGTTCTTCTTCTTCTCGTTATTCATTCATTCTTCGTTTGCAAGGCGGCGAACCTCGAGGCCCTAGGGGCGATCAGGTCGACCTAGGGCAGCCCATAGCCGCCACGCGCCCTGACGGGGTCCCTTCCGGGCATGTGGGGTTTCAGGTCTACAAAAACGCACCCGGATTGCCTGCGTACCGCACTTTCGATCGGATCTCCTTCGACGTGAGCTACGGTGCATCACCCCCGGCATCGAGGGTACACGGTGAGTGTTCGTGTGCGAACAGCGGATAGCCACCGTGCTGCATTACAGGATTGGGAAATTCCCTTGCAAATATCTGGAATTGCAGCTAGCAATCAAACAACTCACGTAAGCGGGATGGCAACTGATGATAGACCAAGCAAAGCAATTTGTCTCTCCATGGCAGCAAGGTCTGATCCAATGTCCGGGGCGACTTGTGTTGGTCAAATTTGTCATCGCTGCTACATCAATACACCACCTGATGGTTTCGGATGCTCATGTCTGGTTTTTGAGGAGTTAGACAAGTGGATGCGCTCGTTCCTCTGGGCGGCGAAGAGTCACTTATTCTGGGACAGAGGAAGTATTTGGTGGCCTGGAATACCATATGCAGGTCGACTTGCATCAGAGAGCTAGGCGTTAAGAATCTACAATTACAAGCTCTGATGCTTCAAGTTTGACGGGAAAGTTGACAACCTTGTCAAGATCACGGTTGGAGATGGCCACCAAATTTTGTTCTGGAGGGACCGCTGGATACATGGACACGGTGCCAATGATCTACAACTGTGTGGAGGTTCATACCCATAACATAAGGACGGTGAACCACACGTCCGACATCCAATATATTCATCTTTGTCAGGCCATTGCCTCTGTTCAGTGGGATCCGCAGACAACTGCCACTTTTGCGTGGCCCTGTGTGACCTCCGGCGTGTATATGACGCGCTCGGTGTATCAATGGCTATGTCAAAGACTGGAAAGATCTCCTTTCGCTGCATCTATCTGGAGAAATTGGGCACCTTTGAAGTGTAAATCTTTGCGTGGCTTGCGGCACAATATAGTCTCTGTAACTCATATCGCCGTGCCAACCATGGCTCGCAAGACCAGACTTCGCCTTGTTATACTTGCCTGCAGAAAGAGGACAGCATCGAACATATGTGCAATGCTCGACGATGCAAGATACGTCCCTCTCCTGGTGGCTTCGCTCTAGAACTAATTTCAGCAAGGAGGAAAAACGCGGCTTTGCCCCCTTTGTCATTGCTACAGCATGGTTCCTCTGGAAGCAATGAAATCCGCGCGTCTTCAACAGAGTACACCAAGTTAGAACTCCTGTTCAGCTTGAGAACCAGACCCTCAGAGTCGGAGAGATTGCTGATTGGAAAGATGCAGGTGTTAAAGTAGGAGGTCTCCACCGGTTTGTGAGAAAGTAGGGTAGGACTTGAGTGGAGTGGTGCGGGTTCTTTGCTCAGATGTTCACAACCATTGCAAGCCTCTTGTAAATATCTTTGCTTTCTTCTATAAAGATATGGTACGCCATTGGTGTACTCTCAGGAAAAAAACTTGACAACCATCGTCAACTGTATATTATTGTATATTATTTCGGTGCTTATTCAGGGTACACACACAGGCTTTCTGTGTAACATCTACAAGGTAAAGACACTCAACCAACAAAAACGAACGGGGTGAAACAAGGTTCTATCTCTTTCTGCATCGCTGCATCTTTTACAGGTGCATATAGAACATACATAGCAGCGATATCAGTAACACAAATATGCAACAACACCACAATGATCCTTGTTGATCAGAGCATGGACTCTCGTCTGGTAATAATCACCAGAAAAGAACTGGTAATGCAGGCACGATTATGCCGAGACAGCCTGCAGGTTCACATCTTCCATTCAGCAACCGAGAAAGCAGGTGATCGCAATCCGCAATCAACAGCAGAGACCAGAAGGATAGTTTCAGGCTGTTATGTACAAGGTGCCAGAAGAGTGAGCAGTATGGTCACAAGGCAGGAGCTTTGTGCCAAGAGACGCAGACAAAGGCAAGAGAGTTCTGGAGGGGAATCACATGTACCTCTAGTTCATGGGACTTCTCCAGCAAATAAGGATCAGATATTGGAGGTTCCAATAAACTGACTGATGCTGTTGTCACCTTTCATATGGTGGTTCACAACTTCAAGGAGCATCATGGTTCATATCCATGGAGGGCTCGTACGAATTGGGATGCACGGAGTCCTGGTTCTGTGGAGAATGGTCGTTCCGAGCTTTGCTTCCACTTGGCGGGGAGTTTACAGGGCCATGTCCTGAGCACTGAACCAGATGGTTTGAATGGGAATTTTGCTGTGAAGGACTGCTGAAAACGTTTGAGATGCCTGCAGTTCTTGTTTGGTCGGTTTGGTACAGCTGAGAGTCAAGTGCAGCCGCCACATTTCCAAATGAGAAGGAGTTGATTTGGACATTTGCAGAAGGAAGACCATATGCTGGCTGTGGAGTTGGATGTTGGGAAGACCCTGCCATGCCTCCTCTGCTCTCAATCTCATTCTGTATAAAGAAGAGAAGCATCAAGGACTTGGGCCAGATACTAACATAACAATAGCAAGGGCTAAAGAAAACAAACAGGGAAATATCATCTTTTGAACGAGGGCACAAGTTAATTCATGTATTGCTACCAGCAGCTTTAGCATTTCAATGGGCAAATGAATAATTTTGTGATGTTTGTATATCTTACTCTGAACCAAAAAGAGATGCCAATTCTCTTAGTTAACGAACACATGCTACATTTTGCATCCGAGACAAGGCATTGGCATAATATGTAACCTAGGGTTTAAACAGATTTAGAGAATTGGTTGAGACAAGTTAATATTCAGTAAAAAAGAACAAGTTATTCATATGACCTGCAAGTAAGCAAGTACATCAGCAACAGACACTCCCGATGCTTCTTCATGCTGACTGGATATCCACCGATGGGTACGCTCCTGCCAAAAATCCAAGGGTCAATTGAAGCAAATTATTAGCTGACAGTATGTGGTACTACATTGAAGAACACGAAGTGGTGCTCTGAACAGATTCCGCATACAACTTACATGCCGCTCAGACAAAGACCTAACTTACCACTGAACACTAAGTCGATTCCTATCATCAAAAGGTTTGTGAAATCCGAGTTGCATACATGATTATATATGCAGCACATTGCAAACCCTTTACTCTTTAGAACTGATTGTGTGCACCGTGTTGAGCTTTGGGCTCTGCACTAGTCTCTTAACCCACTTGAAAAAACAACATTACCACCACAGTTCCCCGAAACGTGCCGCGACATCGAAAGAATCGTAGCGCCATTAGCAGCGCCATCCGAAGCACCTCTTAGTCTCATAGAGATCACCGGATGGCACGCCCAACTGACGCTGTTGATACACTGTGTAATATGATGTAGCTGTTAATTCTCCAATTCTCTTCAGCTCCAATGGTGTCGCACAACAGTACACCACCATCTTGGCAAAGTACCAAGCCGTGCATTTTTCTTTTTGAATATATCTGGTTTTGTCGCCGCACACCGAATTTCTACGAACAGGTGACATGCTCCACCCAAGAAGCCCCCAAATCCCAGCACCACACCAAGAATTCTCGGCCAAATTCAGCAAAAGGAGCCAAATTCTCAATCCCAGACCGCCGGGAATCACAAAGAACTCGAGGCGGAGCCCTATTACCCTCTAATCCCTGCATAATTCGCCATTGACCGGACCCAAGAACTGCCAAGGCAGGATCAGACGACGCGCCAACCGATCAATCGGGCAACCGGCGGAAAACGGAGAGGCGGGGGAGGGGATTGAGTTTACGGACCATGGCGTGGCGCTCGCCGGCGATGAAGGAGGCCTTCTGGTTGGCGACGGCCTGCGCGTAGAGCTGCGAGAGCGCGTTGGCGGCGCCCCGGAACGTGTGGTGCACCTCCGCCTCCGCGTCGTCCTCCGGACCCCGCTTCTTCCCCGCGTGACGCGCCGCCTCCATCCGGAAGATAGCCGGGGTACGGGCCGGAGAACCTTATGGAAGCTCTCCCCGGAGCAGAGGCGAAGGTGAAGGCGACGGTGGAGATGGAGGAGGAGAGGAAGCGTCTGATGGCAGTGCGATGGTGTCACGTATGGTGGTGGTCCACGCCTTCGCGGGCTCCCTGGACCGGGTGCCCCTATGTCTCGCCTATAGCGAGCGACACGAAGGGAACCCTCGCGTCAAGGGCAGCGCCAGATAGGTCAGCCCAGGTGCTCTGGAGGCCACAGGATCGTTTTTTTCTTTACTTTTTCTGTTTTTCCACGTTTTTTTATTTTCGTTCTCTGATTTCTTCTTTTACATTTTTTTACACTTCCAAAAAATATTTAAAAAAAGTACGCCCTCGGTTCCGAAATAAGATGTTTTAGAATTTTTTAAATTGAACGTATCTAGACATATTTCCGTGTCTAGGTTCACTCATTTTAGTCTGTATCTAGTCCATATTGAAATATCAAAACATGTTATAATCCGGAAAGCATTGGAGTATATTACAAAACTATACTTTACATAATGTTTTGAAAAATGTTAATCATGCAGTCAAAAAATGTTAACTTTCTACCTGAATTATTTTTAATCAAAAAAAGTTAAATGCGTAGAAAAAAATGCACCATGTATTAACAAAAATAATCTCGTATTCAAAAAAATTAATCATGCATTTTAAATATATAAACAATGTGTATATAAAAAAATTGTTGACCATGTATTAAAAAATGTTAATCATGTATTTGTAAAATGTTAAATATGTATTAGAAGTAGTAATAGATATATACCAAAAGTGTACAATCTGTACAAAAAAAAGGTAGACATAAAAAAATATAAGATTTCAAAAAATGTTAATCGTGTACTTAAAAATGGTAAAAATGTATACAAAAAAATTTCCTTATTTATATGCAAAAAATGTGGAATGTGTACTGAAAACCCAAAAAAGGGAAAGGAGACAAAGAAACAAGAAAAAATATACATAACGAACAAAGAAACAAAAAATAAAAAAGAATAATGAAAACTGAGAAAGAAACAAAATAACAAAGAAAATCAATAAAAACAAGGAAGAAACAAAACAAAGCCAAAGAAAACGAAGAGAAAGAAAAGAAAAAAAATTAGTTATAACGTAGAAAGAAACAAATAAAACTGAAGAAAATAAAAGAACCCATTCAAACAGAGAATGAAACAGAGAAAACCTGTGAAAAATGAAGAAGCAACAAAATCAAAAGAAACAAAAGAAACAATGAGAAAACGAATCTTTTACCTCAAGTTGGGGGCACGCCTTCTAGTTTTACACAAGCACAATTGTGCCTCACTAGCTAGGTGAATTTGAGAAAATCTTTTATGTAGAAAAGGTCCGCGGTTCTGAATTTGAACAGGTCCATGAATTCAACAAAACGTTCATGAATTCAAAAAAGGTTAAAAAAAAGTCACTAATCTAAAAAAGTTTGTGAATTTGAATTTTTATCAAAAATTTGAGAAATTTTATGAATTTGAGAAAAAAGGAAATAAGGTGAAAAACCCGGTGAATAAAACTACATGGGCCGGCCAATTTAGATACCATTGTTGTGGAGGGGGGGGGGGTGTGTGATGGTTAGCAAAATGCACTTTAATCGGCGCTCCAGGCGCCAAATAGAAGTTAGTTATTCAACGATGTTTCATTTTTGCCAAGCCGATTTTGTGAAGCTTCTAAAAGCTTTTGGTTGGTTCTTCTCTGTTTTTTCTTTTTTAGTTTTCTGGACCATTTTTATTCTTTTATTTATTTATTTATTTGGTTTTCTGGATGGTTTAGAAAAATTTCATGATTTCAAAAACTGTTCAGAGTTCCAAAAATGGTTGTTACTTCAAAAAATGTTAAAAAAATTCAGAAAATTGTTGATGAATTTTAAAATCAATGTTAGTTGAAAAATGTTCGTTAATTCAAAAAACTAATTGCAAGTTTGAAATAATGTTCATGAATTTCAAATATAGTTCTTGTATTCGGAAAATGTTTATGAATTTAAAAATATTCGTAGGTTAACTATTTCGAAAAAATGGAGAATTAAAAATAGTCATCTTTTCAAAAAGCGTTCGTGATCTCAAAATGGTTCATGATTTCAAACAATGCTCTAGAATTTGAAAACTATCATGAATGGAAAATTATAAAAAAATTTAAAAAGAATGGAAAGGAAAAAATAAAAAGAACAAACACGGAGAAACCCAAAGAAAATAACACAAAGAAACCGGCCTAGGAAGGTTGTACCACCTTCCCCAAACAGGAATAGGGAGTCTCCCATACGAGCCTACTTGTGCCGACGCAATATGGAACGTAGAGATCACAAGGGGTATGCGACTGGTTGCTACCCAGCAACCTACGCGACAAATAGGAAGCATTACGTTTTTCTATGTTCTTGTTGCACATCCTTTTTTGCGCCTTGGTAGGCTACACAGTGCCACCAAATCCCCACGTGGGCCACGGCATAGCGATAGCTAGTGCACCGACACGCATGCTCAGACGCATCGTATATTTTTTTCCTTTGACCATTTGCCCCTCCCATTGAACACTTGACCAATTGCCCATTTGACCATTAACTATTGACTACTTGATCGTTCACTTTTGAAGAGAAATTCATGAAAATGATAAAATACCGTGGAATTGAAAAAATAGTTCTCAAATCTGAAAAAAACTTTGTGAATTTGGAAATGTTAATGATTTTGAATTTGAAAATGTTCATGAGTTCTAAAAACTTCATGAATACAAAAAATTTGCGAATTTCAAAAAGTTTCACGCCTACAAAAAATGTTCATTTGAAGATCGTGCATTCAATAGAAAAAAGGGATTTCACAAAAAAAAGGTTTTTGAATTTGAAAAAATTCATTAATGTAGAAAATGTTCGCGATTCTGGATTTGAACAGGTCCATGAATTCAACAAAATTTTCATGAATTCAAAAAAGTTTGAAAAAAAGTTCACTCATCTAAAAAAGTGTGCGGATTTGAAGTTTTCGCAAATTTGAGAAATTTTAAGAGTTTGAAAAAAAAGGAAACTAATTAAAGAACAAACAAAACCGGTGAATAAAACTACATGGGCCAGGCCTTTTAGATACCATTATTGTGGACGGGGTGTGCGACGGTTAGCAAAATGCACTTTAACCAGCGCTCTGGGCGCCAAATAGATGTTGGTTATTCGACATTATTTCGCTTTTGCGAAGCCGCTTTCTTGAAGCTTCTAGAAGCTTTCGTCTGGTTCTTCTTTTTTCTATTTTAGTTCTTTGGACCCTTTTTATTCTTTTTATTTATTTTTTTGGTTTTCTAGACGGTTTAGAAAAGACTTCATGATTTCAAAATCTGTTCAGGATTTTTTAAAAATGTTCAAAAATTTAGAAAATGTTCATGAGTTCTAAAAATATTATTAGTTGGAAAATGTTCATGAAATCAAAAAACAAATTGCGAGTTTGACACAATGTTCATGAATTTCAAATATAGTTCTCTTATTTAGAAAATGTTTATGAATTTAAAAGATATTCGCAGGTTAACCATTTGGAAAAAACTGGAGAATTAAAAAAAGTCACCTTTTCACAAAGCGTTCGTGATCTCAAAAAGGTTCATGATTTCTAACAATGCTCTGGAATTTGAAAAATGTCGTGAATAGAAAATTCTAAAAATCAAAAAAATGAAAATGAATAGAAAAAAGAGAAGAAAAAAAGAAAAAAAGAAGAAGATTAAACTTGGAAAACCCCGAAGAAAATAACACAGAGAAAACGGCCTAGGAAGGTTGTACAACCTTCTCAAACAGGAATAAGTTGTCTCCCATACAAGGCTACTTGTGCCGACCCAATATGGAACTTAGGGATCACAGGGGGTATACGATTGGTTGGTACCCAGCAAGCTGCGCGACAAATAGGAAGCATTGTGTTTTACTATGTTTTTGTTGCACATCATATTTTACGCCTTGGTATGCTACACAGCGCCACCGGATCCCCAAATAGGGCGCGGCATAGCGATACCTAGCACACTGGCACGCTCACTCACACACATCGCCTATTTTTTCCTTTTGACCATTTGCCCCTAGACCCATTGAACACTTGACCAATTGCCCATTTGACCATTGACTATTGGCTAGTTGACCGTTCACTTTTGAAGAGAAATTCACGAAAATGAAAAAGACCGCGCAATTGAAAAAAAATAGTTCACAAGTTTCGTAAAAACTTTGTGAATTTGGAAATGTTCATGCATTTTAAAAACTTCATGAATACAAATTTTTTCGCGAATTTGAAAAGGTTCACGCCTACAAAAAAAAGTTCATTCGAAGATCGTGCATTCGATAGAAAAAAAGGGATTTCAGAAAAAATCGTGAATTTGAAAAAAGTTCATTAATGTAGAAAAGGTTCATGATTCTGAATTTGATAAGGTCCATGAAGTCAACAAAATGTTCATGAATTCAAAAACGGTTGAAAAATAGTTTGCGGATTCGAAGTTCTTTCACAAATTTGAGAAATATTACGGATTTGAAATAAGGGAAAAAGGTGAAAAAAATAAAACAAAACCGATGAATAAAACTACATGAGCTGGCCCATTTAGATACCATTGTTGAGGAGGGTGTGTGTGACGGTTTGCAAAATGCACTTTAACCGGCACTTTAGGCGCCAAATAGAAGTTGGTTATCGATGTTGTTTTGTTTTTGTGAAGCCAGTTTTGTGAAGTTTCTGGAAGCTTTTGGCTAGTTCTTCTCTTTTTTCTAGACCATTTTTATTCTTTTTCCATTTTTTGAATTTCTGGACGGTTTAGAAAAAACTTCACGATTTCAAAAATTGTTCATAACTTCAAAAAAAACTTTGTTACTTCAAAAATGCGGAAAAGTGTTCATGAATTTTAGAAACACTATTAGTTGAAAAATGTTCATGAATGTGAAAAACAAATTGCAATTTTGAAATAATGTTCATGAATTTCAAATATAGTTCTCATATTCGCATTTTTTATGAATTTAGAAAATATTCATGGGTTA